AACCCACCAACATCCTAGACCACGTTAGACAGAGAGCTCCTAATCGATCTAAGACTAATGTCACGCCCTTAAACTAAGTCAGACACGTGGCTGGTGAGTCTAGGTCCGCGATGTCACCCACATAGAATAGTCAGGAAGACATCATCACAGGAAAACGGAAAGGCCGAGTGTCCTTAACTGGCAAATTCTTTTCAGCATGTGGGGTGTCTCCTATGTGCCCTGCAAGGAGTCCCTGGGTGATGCAAACAGCTAAGTGCTCAGCCACTCACTGAAAGGTTGGCGGTTCAAGTCTATCCAGAGGTGCCTCAGAAGAAAGACCTGGAGATCTACTTCTGAAAGGTCACAGTCATTGAAAACCCTATGCAGCACAGCTCTGCACTGACACACGTGGGATCGTCATGAGTCCCAGGTGATTCCACGCCAACTGGTTTTGGTTTTATATGTGCTTTTCATGGTGCGGGAAGCTGGGGACACCCAAAGGCCAGTCCCCATCTCTCCAGAGGACCACTAAGGAGAGCAGAGCAGACTAGTCATCGGCATTTGCCAGATAACTCCATGTGCCCTGGAGGCCACAGGAACACATTGGATGGCATGTCCCCTGTGTCCAGGACCCAGGAGAGGGTTCCTAGGAAGCTGGTCCTGAAGGGACACTCCAAAGCAGAGCAGTCCCAGAGGAGAGGATGTGAGCAAAAGGCCAGGATGGCAACAGCTCTCCAGCATGGAGGGTGCAATGGAGGGGAGAGTGAGGCTGGAGCACAGCGGGGGAGATTATTTTTAAACATCAAACAGAGAAAAGATTGGAGTTGTCAAGGATTTCATTTTACTTGAATCCATAGTCAACACCCATAGAAGCAGTGGCCAAGATAAATGACCATTTCCATTTTTAAACCAATAATCCTGGTCTAGTATTTAATATATTGCATTCCGCTGTGAAAATAGCCTCCCTGAAAAGTACACTCACAAAGAAGAAAGAGGAGAAATTGCCTTTTGTTATGGTCCATTTTACCAGCGAAGAGTAAAGCTCGACTGGGCATTCAGACGTCACATTTGTAGTAAACTGGGAAAACCACTGCACAGCTCTACTTAGAAGTAATGAAGTTTTGTATTGTCAGAAAAAAAAAGAAAGAAAGAGTCTTGGACCCTTTACAAGGTGTGTCTCAGGGACAAAGGACAGAGTGTTTGAAGTGATATGGAATGATTTTGGGGAGCAGCTGAAACAGCAAACATTTGTTGAGGGCTTTCTATGTGCCAAGGACGGTGCAATATGTACCATCTCCTTTAAGGAAGAAACCATCCATCAGTGTTACAACTTGACTTCAAAGCAAGAGATTCCACCAGATAATGGAGGAAGGGGACTCTCTTCTGACTGGCGGTCACCAGGAAGAATGCCATCAACTGTCAACCAGCACCTTCTCAGCATAAGGCAGGATGCAAACAAAAGACCCCCGACAGGGTCCACATGGGTATTTATATTTGCCTCCTCAAGATTTCTCCTCCTCCTCCTCCTTGCTCCAAGATGCAGAAAGAAGCTTAATTCCTGAATCAGAAAGCAAGTTGGTCACTGATGTAGAGAAACAGAGTGTGATAAAAACAATGGTACCCAAAGATTTCTCAAAGTGGAACCAGCAGAAAAACTCAGCTGGGAAACAGCCAAAGCTCTAAGACACCGACCTTTAGAATAAGTGCAGGAGGGTGGATTCGGAGTCACTGTTTTTACTTAGTGCTGAAGGAAAAGGGAAAGGCCAGGTTGATAAAAATCAAGTGCTTGATAAAAATTGAATTTCGGGAGAAACATAGCTAACGATGCCAAGGAATGACTACTTAAGTCCTATTTTACATGATTCATTCTTCGGTGGGTAGGTTAGATAGAAATCAGACCTTGTTAGGCTTTGCTAATTCTAGAAAGGTTTTTATATTGCACAAAACAAAACAGTCGGTTAGAAAACTTTCTTATGTCTGATTTCATTATCTACATTTCGGGAAAGACTTTTTTTTTAAATTGTACTTCAGATGAAAGTTTACAGAGCAAATTAGTTTCTCATTAAACAATCAATATACATATTGTATTGTGACATTGGTAGCTAACCCCATGACATGTCAACACTCTCCCCTTCTCAACCATGGGTTCCTCATTACCAGCTTTCCTGTTCCCTCCTGCCTTCTCATCCTTGCCCCTGGGCTGGTGTGTTCCTTTAGTTTTGTTTTGTTTTATGGGCCTGTCCAATCTTTGGATGAACCGTGAACCTCTGGAGTGACTTCATTACTGAGTTAAAAGTGTGTCCGGGGTCCATACTCTCGGGGTTTCTCCAGTCTCTATCAGACCGTAAGTCTGGTCTTTTTTTGTCAGTTAGAATTTTGTTCTACATTTTTCTCGAGCTCTGTCCAGGACCCTCTGTTGTGATCCTGGTCAGAGCAGTCAGTGGTGGTAGCCGGGCACCATCTAGTTGTGCTGGACTCGGTCTGGTGGAGGCCGTGGTAGTCTTGGTTCATTAGTCCTTTGGGCTAATTTTTCCCTTGTGTCTTTGGTTTTCTTCATTCTCCCTTGCTCCCGAAGGGGTGAGACCAGTGGAGTATCTTAAATGGCTGCTCACAGGCTTTTAAGAACCCAGACATACTTACCAAGGTAGGTCGTAGAACATTTTCTTTATAAACTATGTTACGTCAGTCAAGCTAGATGTTCCCCGAGACCATGGTCCCCAGTAGGGAAAGCCTTTTTGATACCGTCCTGGGGCCATGACTTATGACTGTTTACTTGGAAGCACGTTTTGGCAGACTACAGACATTGCACTGGTTATAAATAAATTCTCTCCTCCATGCAATAACATCGCCAAGGTCTGCACCTAAGAATTCAGTTCCCCAAAAAGACAAAACTGCATTTTCTTATCTCCCTTAATCTGTAAAACATTTAAAATAATAGAAGAACTCTGCTAAAGCAAATAAACTGATAAACATGAAAATGTGTTTGTGCCTTTCTTTTAGCTTAAAAAAATAAATCTGACAGCAAACAAAACACACCCACACACATCTCCAGAGAAGCAAAAGCTATTTGCTTGGATCACCTACAGCAAGCCACAGACAAGGCGCGAGTCCTAAATTATTGGCAGTGAACACAGTAAAGGACAGATTACAAAGTCTTGTTATTTAACACAGAGCAACACAATAACGTGATATCATCATAGGATGAGGAGCTGGTGTCGGGTTCTTAGTTTTTCAAGTAAAAAAAGAACACAGCATCACGGTGGTGATTTACAGTTAAGCAGAGTTACTTGCAAGTGACATTTTTTATTGCTCCAGAGGCTCAGAGGAGTCCAGAGGAGACGCTCGAAGATGCTGACTTATTACCGAGAAGTTAAGAATTAGAAACAGAGATTCCTTAGACAGCAAGGCCAACGAGGCCTGCCTCCTTCAATGAAGTGCACCTGTTTGTATGTCCAAGCCACCAGGAGAGAAACCAAAGGGGATTCTTTAATGAACTGACCAGCAAAAGAGTCAAGGTTGTTTACAAACAGGAAACTGCCCATCTTGTTAACCCCTGCACGGCTGGTGGAGAGTGCCGGGTGGACCACAAGGACTGGCTACATCCCGCCTCCTGGAATGTTCTGGATGCTGCTACCAGAAAGGATGGGGGAGCTGGGGCTTCCTACACTGTGTAGTGTGTGGTCACTTTTATTAAGTGGAAAATCAATCACTTATCCCTCTTCCTCTAGAAACCAGGTTCTGGTTACCCTCCTCAGAATTTCGACAGCATTTTCCATACTTCCTTCTCGACATTCTGCTGCCTTCCTGACTACATGAGGCGGTCCTCAGGGCAAGGTGTTGTGTTTTGCTTCCCGAGAACCCCGATCCGTCATCTCTGCTTCCTTGGGGTCAAGAATGTTCATTCAGAATCTTGTGGAATGTATACGGAAATGTGTGAATCAATAATTTCTACATTGTATATGTTTTTCTCTTCTCTGTCTTTGTTTGAAAAGCAGAAAAACTTCTTTACATTTTAAAATTTAAAACTCCCTTTGTCGATGGTATTACAAATAATGCAAGAACCACGCAAGTTTTCTACAAAGGAATTTACCAGATTTCGTATAAGACCAAGATCAAACACGCTCTCAAGCTGAGGACGTGGAGACTGATTCTCGCGATCTCTGGGGCTTTGGCTAAACACACACAACTTCGGGCATTTAAAGAAAAAATCAAAAATGTGAGGATCAAAACAACAGAAAGCAGCAGCCAGCACAGAAACACCCTGCAAAGCTACCGCGTGACATCAGCGCTCTGTCTGCTTCTCCTCCGTCTCCTGGGGTGCACGGAGCTGCTGGAGCCCTGGGTGTGTGGGTCTGGGGGTGTCCTGTGATGCACCAATCCTACACACGTTGCTAAGTCGACGTGGCTCCCCAGAAGGCTTTAGGCTGCACTGCTCCTCTAGCCATTTTTGGTGCACCACACTTACTTGCTTTTTGAGAATGGCAACACCCACGAAGTATCTTTTAGTAAATGCATTTTTAGTAATAGTAAGTTTAAGCTCCCTGCTTCTGTTTAATTTGGAATTGTTCATCGCTATGAAACTCTCTTGCTAAGTAGATTAAACTCATGTTTGGCTCCAAAGTTAAACTTCAGCTTCCTGGGCTGTTGGTTCGATTTCAAAGGGAATGTCAGAAAACAACATCTGAATTACTGCTTTCTTTGAAGTCAAAGAAAAAGAAGACTTTTGGGTGTGTATTTTGAAAGCATCTAGAAGTTCTGCAGTGATAACGTTATGGTTTCACGGTTGCACTGTTATCTCCGCTTACTTGTTTGAACCTAGACTTGGTCTTCCCACCTGGCTGGTCTCACAAGAAATCAACCCGCTAAGGCCCCAGTCTGCACGCTTTACCTACGGTTCAGATGCGTCAGGGAGGAGGGTCAGGAGGTTTCACCAGGCAAAACCACTGGGAAACATCCTCCATCCGAGCGGAGTCTCACCGTGGTGCCAACACTTGTCTACCCAAACCACCCAGCCTGCTCACCTTGGAGCTGGCGGCCCTTGTACAGGTCCCGGGCTTTGGTCGGCTGGGCCCTGGCTGTGCTGTCACACTTCGGCTGCTCGTACCTGCAAGGGGGGGGGGGTGGGGTGGGGGAGAAGAAAGAAAGAACACATGGTTGGAGACTTGGTGACGGTACCCTGTGGCTCAGCACACACTAGGACACCTCGTTCTCATACCACAGCACCTGTGATTGAGCACCTCTGTGACTGGACACAGTCAATGGGAAGAAGCACCCTGCGACAGCGGTATACGGGCTCTCTCCACCCAGCTGTCCAAGCGAACCTTCCGCACGTCCCCACCTCCACCCGCTGCAGCATGCTATGAACAGCAGGCGCTCTCTTCCATTGGATCGGGATTATCCGGAGGTGGATGCTCGAGGGCGGTGGATGTGAACACCCCCCACCCCGGAGGAGAGCGCCAAGTCTCAGAAGAACCTCAGTGCTTTAGATTTGCATGTCACTCAGAGACCGCCTCATCTAAATTTCCATCCAACTCGTGAAGCTACAGAATTCTGTCTCACTGTTAAAAAAAAAAAAAAAAAAAAAAAAAAAAAAAAAAGCTCCTTTCTGGCCTCCTGTCAAGTTGATAGGAAACTTAGAAAATCCTGACTGTGGAGGGGGCTAAGCTCCGAGCACACAGGTCCTGCAGCCCGGGGGACCCTCTGCCCCAGTGACCACTGCAGTGTGAGGACAGTGTTAGGTGATTCTGCTGAGCTGATAGAGGGAGCCATGTGCCTCTCATCGAAGGCTCAGATCCCACCAGCAAGAGAGACTCCATGTGCCTCCATGCGGTCACTAAGCATCTCCTTGGATGCACCTGCCTTGCTCTGGGCTCTGGGTACCGTGTTATTACAGTGGAGACTTTCCCCCTGCGTGGGGACCGGCCCAGCCAGGTGGTGGGCCAAGACCATGAACACAAAATGTGTGCCAGCCCCGAGTGTCTGCCTCCGATGCTCTGATCCAAAGAGCAGACTCACCAATGGATCCTGCTCCCCACAGTGAAGTCCATCCCACCTCCCGAAGCCAAGCTTCTCACAAGCCGATCCCAGACGGACTGAACATGGGAAAGCTATGAAGGGAAGTCCGTTCCCGGGAGCTGTGGGGTTCCCTGACGCTGACTTTGACTCAAGACCCCCAGGGGCCTTGCCCAACTTCCTGGATGAGACACTTCCCCACCACCCGTCTGTCAGCTGTTGTACTGTGGTGGCTTGTGTGTGGCTGTGATGCTGGAAGCTATGCCACCAGTATTTCAAATAGCAGCAAGGTCACCCATGGTGGACAGGTTTCAGCAGAACTTCCAGACTAAGACAGACTAGGAAGAAAGGCCTAGTTATCTACTTCTGAAAATTAGCCACTGATAACCCTATGAATCACAAAAGGTATCTTCGGATATAGTACTGGAAGATGAGCCCTACATTACAAGGCCCTCAAAATACACAGTGGACTCACGCACACCAACCACCATGAAGATGGCGCAGGACTGGGCAAGGTTCCGTTCTGTTGTGCATGGGGTCACCAGGAATTGGCAAGAAACGACAAGACCCTTCCCTCCTCCTTCTTCATTTCCTCTTTCCTTTGCTCTGAGCCCGACTCCACTTCAATCTGAGGCCCCCGGCCCCAGCTCTCTTTCCAAGGCCTCTCCCCTGACACATCTCTTGCACATTGAGTCCTGTCATCTTGTCTGCTGCTCAGGGGTCTTGGGGTAGCAGACTGTGGCAGGTGACATTCCAGGGAAAGCCTCATACACCAAGCAAGCTCCACCAGGGAGCATCTGATCTTGTCTGGAGGGGTGAGGGAAATGTGGATGAGAAGCAGGAACCAGTGAGGAGAGGGGATGCAGGTGGAAGGCTCCAGTCCAGAGGCCTGCTGATGTTCCGGAGGTGAGCAAACGTTCTCTCCATCCCTCATACCCTCTATCTCCTTTTAATTCCCACAAGCAGGGATACTTGAACACATTAACTTCTGAGATCTCCTTCTGCCCCATTTTCCTTCTTACCTTCCCAAGAAAGGGGTACATGATCATATTCACTTCACAGTGTTTCTTTTAGATTCTCCTTTATTTCTTTTTTCCAACCGTGGAAAATAAATGTCAATAAAGCTTCTCTCTTAAGGGATACTTTCCAGAATGTTTTTCTCCTGGTGTCCTATGGAGCTCAGGCCAGTCCTGGGGTGGGGAGGGGAGGGGAGTGTGGCCATGGAGAGAAGGTGACTATGATCTCCCCTTCTCCTCCTCACACCCTGAACAGCCTCTTAAAAACAAAACTGGTGAAAATACATGCAGTAGAACACACACCCACTCATCAGTTTCCGCGTGTACAGCTCAGTAACACTGGTTACATTCTCCACGTCACACTTCTCCCCATCTCTGCCCACATTGTTTCACCACCACTGCCTTCGAGACACTGTCCACCAAACTTCTCATGGACGCTGTACAGTTACTGTCGACAATTTGATTCCTTATAACTAATTGTTAAAAAAATCAAGCGCTCCTGGCGAACATCCTTCACTAACTTAGCTAAGCAGTTGTTTATAGTTTACAGACAACTTCAGGGGATAATTTCTGTTTGTGGCTTGAAGATTTTCTCAGAGATTTAGATTTAGGGGTTCCTCCAGTCTCAGTAGATTCAGGAAGTCTGGATTCTGTAAGAATTTGAAATTCTGTTCCATGTATTTTTTTCTCATTTGATGAGGATTCGTCTGTTGATTCCTTGACGAAATGTTCAGTAATGGTAGCCAGGCACCATCCAGTTCTTACGATCGCATAGCTAAGGAGGCAGTAGCTGAACAGCCTTTGATGCCAGAAAACCTAACACTCCATTCACACCAACCTAATCTGCCTGTTTTGGGTTTTTTTGAGTCCCTGACACAGGGAGGCAAGCAGCTAAGCCATTGAATGTTGACCAGAAGCTGTTAGCTTGTATTGTTTACAATGGAACCAGACGACAGAGAGCCAGTCTGCTGGAAATGTGGACACTGGTGGACGGGGCCTGTTTCTGAGCTGGGGTGTCTCCCGATCCAGTGAGGAACATGGAGGTCGATGGGGAGTGGATACGTTCACCAAGAGAAGGCAGGTCAAAGAGGCCTGTTTACCCATGAGTGGGATTGCAAAGCTCCTATTTTTACTTATGCTTATTGAAGCTGCAGAAGGTGGACACTCTCGGGGTGGGGAAAACCCATTTCAGGCTGTAGGTCCCACCTGTGTCCGTGGTGTTGGCACCAGTGACACCTGTGTGAGCACTGACCCCTTCCTAGCAAAGGCCCTGCAAGCTGTCACACAGAGGCAGATGGCCAGCTCCTCCCCAGTCAGGCAGACCCGACCATGGAATCCCAGTGGAGGCCAAATGTCGGTGCGCCCTACAAGGCACCCAGGTCCAATGAGCGTTACTGCGGCACCGCAGGCCCGCAGCGCAGGCAGCAACGGGAAGCTCAGTCGTGCACGTGAGCCTGGTGTGGAGCTACCACAAGGCTGCAGGACCCGACTGCCAGCCATTCCGGCAGGTGACGAGAGCTACTACGGTCCTTAGCCCATGAGGAATCTTTTAACTCTGAAGCGCCCGGGAGGCTGGTCCAGCTGACGCTGCTTCTGGTTCTGTACCAACCTCGGGGACTGGGACGTCTCCAGAATCCCGGGACGGATGCGTATGTGGAGCTGCGGGTTTAAACCACAGGGTTCTGCTGCTGCTTTTAAAGAACCACGGGGACAGCTGCAACTTGCCGAAATGGCCGTCTCAGGAAATAGCATGAATGCCTTGAAGTCTCGATAAAAAAAAAAAATCCTAACTCACTCTGACACTCACGACCACTCTACTCAACAATGTTTAACGTGTGTCCATGTTGTTGGTGTTGTAATTAGCTGCTGTGGACTTGGCTCCGACTCTCGGCGGCCAAGTGCGTATCATAAGGAAACACTGCCGTTCCTGTACCACCTTCACAAAAGGAACCCTCTTGCCGGCAGGGGCGGATTACCCAACAGGCAAGGTAAGCACGGTGCTTACCTTGCTTACCAGCTCATCTGTAGTGAACGCCGTCACATTTTTTCACCACATCGAAGACTCTGCTTCTAGGTGTGGCCGGCATCTGTCCTCTCTCCCCACCCCACAGCACTTCCTACAGAATCAAAGCCTCTTTTCAAATTCACAATCCCTGACAGGGGCAGATGACCCCGTGAGCAAGGTAAGCACAGGCTTACTTGTGCTTATGTAGTAATCCATAGTAAACAATTTCACATGGGTTTTTACCACATCTTTGATGTGAACTTGTTCACTACAGATGATCTGGTAAGCAACGTAAGCACCATGCTCACCTAGCCTAGTCAGTAACACGCCCTGGCTCGCCGGTCTAGTGTCCCCCAGCACCTGGCTCTCCGTCACAGGCGTGCACTGCCAGGGAGAGGTCAGAGGAGGGGGCTGCCCTCAGAGCCAGGTAAGAGAAGCCTGATGCCTGATTATCTGACTGCTGCAGATGGCCAAACCCTCCATCTGCCCTCCAGAGAGTCCTGGGCGTGCATGCAGGAGCCGGCTGTCAGCCTTGCCTGTCCCACCTCCACTGCTCATCGGTGGAGCCCACCCCAGCAGGAGCCCACCCCAGCAGGAGCGTTCACAGGTCGGCGCTTCATCCTCAGGGGCTGCACACTCCACAGAGGCTTCACCGCGGCACCAGCGGGCAGGAGAGCGGGAGGCCAGGGTGCTGCACCCCCACGCACTGTCTCTCCCGGGGACTCATCCAGCTAGGAATTCTGAGCTGGGAAGAAGCTGCTCCCAGCTTCCAGCGGGCAGAATGCTGTAGTTATGGTATCTGACAGGCATCTCTGCACTCCCCAGGCATACTTCCGGGCAGTTGACCCAGTAAGCGAGGTACGCACGGGCTCACTTGTGTTTACTAATCTGTAGTGAGCAGTTTCACACGGGTTTCATCGCATCTTTGATTATTGGGTAATCAAAAATCACCTTGCCTAGGAACCCTGGCGGCGCAGTGGTTAAGGGCTCAGCTGCTACCCAAAAGGTCGGCAGTTCAAACCCACCAGCCGCTCCGCGGGAGAAAGACATGGCAGTCTGCTTCTATAAAGA